TGATTAGAACTATAGCTGTAGGTGGAGCTATAAAGGTAGAGCCAAGCCATAAAGAGTCTTCTTATGTTGTTAAAGAAGTTGCATGAGTAAAAAAGTGCAACAAGATGATGACAGTAAAAGATAATAAAAGCGAGATGGTGAAGACTTATGGCAATGAAGATGCTTTGAAGAATAAGAAGAAGACAATTCCTTGTGTCAAGTTTGATGAGAGTTTAAACTTGATGCGTGTTTATTTGTATTGAAGTTTGCATCGTCATCACCCCATCCATGAGGGGTGCGATGATACCTAAATGTGTGAGTTGAGAGAATTTGAGTTAAGGTGGAGGTTGTTAGGCAAGTGACTCAAATTAGTTTTGGAAAAGTTACTATTTTGTATTTTTGGGTAAGTTAATGTTTTCAGTTTTTTGGTAAGGGTTATTTTATGACTTATTATGAGTCTATAGATTACTGCTTTGTGTAAGACTTTATGTGCTCATAGAATAGTGTAGAGAAAGAGTGTCTCTTTTTTTAGAGAAAGAGAGAAAAGTGAGGAGAGAGATTGACACGCCCCAAAGCAGGGGTTAGTGACGTGGAGGCTCGTTTAGAAGTTAAATATAATTAAGAAAGTAATTAAATAATAGGAAATATAATAATCAAAACCGAAAGTAAAATATTAAAGAAATTTCTAAACAAGCCCCACATTTTACTGAAATTAGATTACAAGAAAGTGATGGGGACTTTCACACTTTTCTAATAAAATGGGTTTAAAAACTGAGCCTCTGGTATCATTCAGGGTTTCACCCAGAGGATATACAATATTGTACATACATGAACATATAAATAATATTTACAGACAGTAACCACAATCTAGAGTTTATAATCTTAGAATTTACAATCCTTACATTTATACACAAGGATAATGGATATAATGTCTTCACTTGAGCATATGGCAGCAACTAATTCAGCTACTCTGCATTGCTTCTAGCGTCGCCTGGGAGGGGTTTAATATATATATATATATATATATATAAACAGAAACAAAACGTGAGCAGAAGGCCCAGTAGGATGTATTTCAAATAAACTTTATAAATAAGTAAATAAATGAATGAGTAAATAAATAAAGATATTCAGTTTCAACACAACAGCTGGAACCTAACATCCTTTTTTCTGAAAGGAAGTATAAACATTAAATTTCGTATTACAGGCATCAGCAAATAATTTATACTATGATAAATTACTTACACAACCACAAGCACAAGCCTTAACACCACCGTAATGGCCCGGTCCGAATTTCAAGTTATGCCCCCAAGGATACTCTCTGCTTATCCTTTTTAGGCCATCAGCAGGTTTACTAGTTCGCAATATATCTTATCTTAAGAAATCATTCATTAAAACTTTGAAAGAGTTCATTATGATTCCAATAGCTAAAATCAAGCTATTGTGTTAAAATACTTTTCGTTATCAATCATGTCTTTTCTTTCAAACATTTATAAGGCCAAAACTCTTTAAAAACATGTTATCAAAGAAAAGGATAAGAAATCCTACCTCTTAAATACCAAACTTGTTGCTAGCGCTGCGTTATCCTAACCTCTGCTTTCTCAAAGCCCTCCAATCCGATTCTTCAACTAGCATTGATACAAAACAATGTTTTAGGATTCAATTTTCATTCCTAAAACAAATCAAGCTCAATTATACACTTTGATTTCCTATTAGTGTGCCTTAATCCAATTTCAAGTTTCACAAATCATTTCATGCTTCAAATCATCATTCCAAGGATTTTGATCTCAAAACATGGATTAAAGATGCTAATCCATCTACTTAAAGTTTCCAAATGAAACTAATTTGGGTTCTTTATGAAAATCAGGGTCAAAATAAGGTTTTAACACAAAACAAGTTCAAATCACGTGTGCACTGGTCGACCGGTGACAGAGAAGTTATTCTCCACCGGTCGGCCGGTGAAGAAGGAGCCGGTCGACCAGTGGGGGCTGCACAGGATGGCCGACATGGCCGATCCGAAGAAAATAAGACCAAAACCTATAAATCCAAGTTCCAATCTGAAATATTTCAAAGGAAATTTACTAAATCCAAGTTCCAAATGACAAATCCAATCCAAAGAACTAATTTTCCCAAATTTTTACAGTGATTTTACCCATAATCCATCAAAATCTAATTTAAACCAAAAATAGGTTTTTCTAACGGAAAAATTCAAGATTCAAGATAAGTTTTTCAAAAATCTTACCCTAAACCCTTCCCTTGACGTTGAAAACTCCTTAAAGTTCCTCTTTGGTCCAAGATCCTTGAGAATTGGTGACAAATTGGAAGAGAGCGAGAGAGAAGGCGTTCGAGAGTGAGAGAGAAACGACATAATGAGTGAGAGAGAGAGAGAAACGACAGGGAGAGTGAGAGAGCTGAGAGGAAGCCACGGGGAAAGAAAAGAAAAGGAAAGAAAAGAAAAAAGAAAAAGGAAAAAGATCAACATCAAAGATATTTAGGAAAATATATCAGAAAATGTGTCTACACACACTTTTAGGGTGCAAATGTAAATACTAAAAATGTTTAAATCCCTTGAAAATATTTAAACATAAATATCCGAAGCATTTAATAAACATAATTAGTTAATTAAACTAGATTAGGCACACTAATAAATCTCAATTATCTTAATTAATCTTGTTTAATTGCTCGAGGTGTTACAGAGATAGGCAAGGGTGTAAGGGGTTTTGGGTAGAGAGAAAGTGAGAAAGTTATATAAGTGTGTAATTCTAAAACTGTTAGTGACTTTTTCTTCCTCTTCCGTAGATGTAGAAAATTTTTTTGAACCACATAAATTTTTGTCTTTTATATTTTTCTGTTATTTTGTTTCAGTTTATTTTTCTCCCGCATGAATATAGGGGTGTGTTTTTCCCAACAAACATTAACCTGAAGATTCGAATAAATCATAAACAAAAATCTAAATAATCCAAGTTTAACCAAAAACACAGTCCTACAATAAACACAAACTCAAACATTTGCTCAATAACAAATACAAACTAATTCTGGGATTGAAAATCTTAACATAAACAACTATATGAGCATTTTTCTAAAGAAGTCGACCTATAACTGTATTTTAAGAGAATAAAGAAGTTGTGTTTGATACAAGCACAACTTAGGAAGCTTCTTCATATCATGTTCACCTTAATTAACGAAGTAGATGGGTCTAATTTACGAGAAAATACAATAACACATGAATGGTTGTTAGCCAACATGGAGGCCCCACCAAGGAGTGGGACCGCAAAGATCGGTATTTGCCATTTGGTCTATCAAACTCTCACACACGTGATTCACATTAAGACCTGAATCTGATCGTGAAGAGAAAAAGACAATTTTTTCTCTCATCCTTTCAAGTTTCAATCGATCGTTTTCTTTGGTTTTCTGAGTCCAAATGCCTCGGCCTAGCTTAGATCAGCCGACACAAAGTACACAAAAATTCTGTCGTTTGAAGTTAAGAAATTATGATTAGATTTATAATTCTTTTGCGACCTTAAGGTTGTGGGTTATTTATAATTTTTATAAATTCACGTCACAATTAGCGTCCTTTGTGGCAAAGGTCTCGGTCTTGAAATGGCTCGAAAATGTAGAATAAAGTAGAACCTTTTTTTTTTTTTTTTAATAGGATTTCCTACTTGGAGAAATAGGTTTGTCACATTTGCAAGTAATCGGTGGAAAGCTTATGCCTTTGAACAAAAATTTGAAAGGAATAATATACGTGAAGCACATTTGCATGAAAGTGAAAATTCTAGAGATGTAAATTATATTGGTGACCGTTTTTCCATTTCTTTTGGTTTTGGAAATATTGGGTTTTTCCACAAAGCAAAGTTACTTTCTTCCGGAAGAAAAGCTCCTTTTTGCTAATATTGACTAGTAAGAAATTATTTGTAGAATAATTTACACTTTGTTAATGTACAAAAGTAGCGAAAGAATAGAAAAACTTTGATATGCGCTAATAAACTATTACAGATTGAAATACAACGAAGAGTAAAAAGTAACTAAAAGTATTTGCAAATTGAGTTATGATAAAGGATTAAAGGAAAAAAAAAAAAAATAGAAGACTTTGAAAGATATATAAAATACATCTTTCACGGCTCTCAACCCTTTATCTAAGAGACGTCAAAATGCACTCCAAATCTTAAAAGCATCTCTCCAGAGAATCAGGATAATCAAATCGTATCTACTTCTAAGATTTGCCAAAATTTATTACTTTCATATGATTAGAACACTGGCAAATAAATTTTCTATAATGAGGATAAGATAAGGTCGGTTATGGTGTCTCACTCCTGATCAGTAAGTCTTCTAATAAATGAAATTATCAAATGAAATAAAATGTAAGATTTTATTGAAATAGTGGGTTGACTACTGTAATTACTATTTACAGTTCTTCGTATTTTTAATTTGAGGAAATCATCTTTGTATAAGTACAAAGAGATTTATAAAACCTAATGTAGAAAATTAATTATAGAATGTCCACTCGTAAATAATTTGTACCATAAAGTGATCGTCTCTAGATATATTTATAAGTAACCAGCTTGTTGTAAAAGCACAACTAAGGATGAAAAATATTTTTCCTATTTGTAAATATAGACATATTGCCGAACTGTATTAAATCTTCATCTTCTTTTTTTTTTTCTTATGTATTTTTACCTGCAACTTGGATTAAATGCAAGGTTTAAAGACCTGCTTTTTTTTTTGGCCAAATTGATCGAATTGAATCACCAATCCTTTGAATATCATCCCAGAAAAAATCACAATAGCTAAACCCAATATTTCAACAGATTTTGGATATTACTCCTCGGTTTTGACTCCAAAAAATCTCTAATGGCGTTCAAATGATAAAAGAAATTTGTACATATATTGACATGGAAAAATTGAATACATCCATAAAAGAAAAGAAAACGGGGGCCAAAAAACCTGATATTGAATTAAACATTTGATTCCTTCACAGTTTCACAAAATTAGGAAAGCCATACATAAACATTTGATTTCTTTTCTTCTTTTTTGTTTTTCTGGGACGTATATATATATCATCAGAAACTTTGACAAAAGATGACTGTGCTTGGCTCAGCTACAAAAAGAACCCAGAATTTCCTACGCTGCAGAGACTACGGTGTCAGACCCCGTATATATATAATATTACATACAACTACACATATATATATATATATGTATTGTGCAGAACGTACGCAAAACCCAAAAAAGACATGTATAGTTCATGTAACATGCACATTCATAATTATTATGTGGCAACTTCTGACTCCGCCACATAATTTAGTCTCTCCACCTCTTCCCACACCAACTTGGAGGTTACCTCATCATACTCCGGAACGTATTCCTGATAATTACATATTAATACACTAATAAATTATTAATTAAGTAAAACACATAACCCCTCAATCATAATAATGTTATATAATTCTCAACATAACTTGGATACATTAAACCATTTTTAGGGCATTAATAAACTGTAGCAATATAGAATTAGTCTTTGCTCTAGAAACACCAAGTCATGACCAACCATATATATCTACATATATAAATATATATGTAATATTGAAGGAGCAAGTGGGACCTTAAACACATAATTCTCCTCATAAACTCATTTTCTTGAATTGTATATTATTAATTTTTATAAGAGAAGGATCAAGAATAGTTAATAATATTATAGTTAATTTCTATACCTCAAGAAGTCTGACCAATTGTTTGGCTGTTGGAGCAGAAACGATAATGCGACGTGCGGTCGGCGAGATGAAGCCTTCATCAACAGCCTTGTCGATGAAGGACAACAACGAATTATAGTACCCATCAACATTCAAAAGCCCCACCTAATTAAAGAAAAAATATATAATTAATATCATTAATTACTATTAATATTAATGCTATAATGAATATGAGAAATTAACTTACAATATCCAATTACTATTATATTAATTAAGACGTCTAGTATATGTTGGTAAGGGTTATACATATCAACTTCTTTAACCAATGATCTCTTTTTCTTATTTTCTTAATAGACTATGAGGAATCTTTCTCCCACTAAAACGGAGATCCTTTAAAATCAAATTAAAGAACCACCAAATTATATATATGTAACACCCATTTGATTGAAATACATAACGCATATCTTCGATTGCGCAATTGCAAATCTTATACTAATCTTTCCATGTGATTTGGAATTAAATATCACAATCACTGATTCTAAGCCCCGTGATATGTGTGTGTGTGTGTGTGTGTATGATAACTTCTCTTGTATTACATCCATCCCACTCACAAAGATTTCTTTAGCTTATGACCCGTCAAACTTTGCTTTCTAATTGTATGGCTTATAAGCCTAGAATTTATTAAAAAGAAAGTAATAATAGCCGTGTGTACTTGAGAAAGCATGACAAATAATACTTGTATGATGGCACCACTACTTCATCACATGGAGACAAGGGAACACAAAATAAAATAATTTTTATTTATTTCGAGTGATAGTTTATTATTTACAGTTCCGAAACAGCTTCGCTGAAAGGAGCAGCAATTAATTTTAATTTATGGATCGTCAATTATTACAGTTGAACAACATGAAACATGCCCCATGTGAAAGCTTGATGTTTAAGCGTTTGATTTGAATAACTAAGTACCATTGAAAACATTTTTACGCATTGTTTCTCAATATTCATAAAGCTCAAAAGAGTATTTAGTAATTATTTTTAGAGTTTAGTATAAAAGATATATATATATATATATATATGTCTTGATTGTTTATGCATAACAATTAATTAAGAGAACAACTTATTTATAAACTATTCCTTTTAAAATGTTGGTCAATAGTACTTATCTGATGAGCACTAATTTTGGTCAAACTTAATACGTTTATGGGGACCAATCTTATCGCTATCATTCCAATCGCTTTGTTAATCAAATAGGGGAAAAAAATTGCAAATTATTCTTACAGGTTTGCGATGGATTCCAAGCTGAGCCCATGTAATGACTTCAAGAAGCTCTTCAAGAGTACCATATCCACCTGATATTATTTAGTAGAGCATAAATATTAATTCTACTATACATAAGAACTTTGTTGAAGCAATCAAACCAGCTATATAAACAATATACATACATACATAAATATATATATATATATATAATTTTGTATTAAATGGCATACCGGGAAGGGCAATGAAGGCATCTGCTTGACGGGTCATCTCAGCTTTCCTCTGATGCATATCAGATACAGTTCTCACTTCTCCAACAGTCTCACCAGTTATCTGTTAAAATTTAATGTTTCTTGTATGTTATAAATCCTACAATATATAAACAAAATTATCTGAACAGTATATAAACATATATATATATATGTATTATAATATGGTACATATCCAAGTATTAATTAAGGGATAAGACATAAAACAGGACTTTGAATATTATTTATACCTCTCTAGGCATTAGGGTCTTCGGAATAACTCTGCAAAATAAACAATGAAAACATATTAATTAGGTCGGTACTAAGATCATCTAGCCAATTGAAAACCAAAGGAACAAGAAATAAAAATATGTGTGCAGTATAATTTTACTAGTCAATAAAAAGCTAGAAGACAAGTCTACTACGGATTTCTACATGGTTTTTTTTTTTTTTTTTTACTTTTTATTTTTCAATTCTTTTTTCGGTGTGACAAATAGAGGGTCATGTATACCTTTTTTGTGTACACATTATAGGGCAAGTTGCATGACCAATCACAAAAAGTTTACAAACTTTCCATGTTGACACCTTTTTGTCTTTCACTTTCTAACTGGAAAGTTTCAGTTTACATTGATCGAAACGGATAATATTTAATTTTAACCTTATCCAACTGTATAAAATGCTCCTCAAAAGGTCTCCTATATAGTAGAGACACTAGTGAACTTTGCACTTCATTCAATAAGACCAAATAGACCTAGTTTTACTAATTAATCTCTGGAATACCCATTAAGCTATATAATTAAAAAAAGACACTTTGGGCTCCCAAAAAAAAAAAACATGCGCATGTATTATTATGTCTGGCCTAGCATTTGATCCTATGATGTCTGCCTTTGTGCAGTTTGAGAGAGAAATGTTAAACCCCACTTCATGGGTACTAGTGAAGAGAATTTGCAAGGTTCAAGAGCTAACAATTAAGAAGCTGATAATTATGGGGCATAGAAAATTCATGGCCTTTGTCCTATGAAAACCCATTTTCATTTTCTTGGAACTCCACACTTGAAGGCCGGAGAGAGAGAGAGAGAGAGAGAAAGAGAGAGAGAGAGAGAGACCCTAGAACATGACGCCCACCATCATGAACTGCCTGAGAAACAAGACCCATCAATCCCACGCTTCCACCTCCATACACCAAATCAATCCTTCTCTCCACCTAAACCCACACAAAAAAAAATATTGCACATCAAAATTAAAAACCCATCAACACGTGTCACAAAAATCATGAAACAAGAGTAATATAATCAATTTAATTAATGAATGACTGAAGAGATGTAGCTAGTAATAATAGTAGTATGCTTGAGGGAGGAAATAACAATGAAAACCCTAGCTAAGACTACGGCTAGTGACTAGTACTGAAATTATACTATTAATAAATAAACAAATAGATAAATAAATATTAATCTTCATGGAATCCCATAAACAAAAATCATGGAGGTTTTTGGCAATGGAGAGATAGAGGGTATAACAAGGAACACACTCAAAAGGGTCATGATACCAAAGGAGCACGTTAGGTTTCCTGTGGAAAAGCAGGAGATTATTATTTTAGAAAACCAAAAATATAAAAAGAGCTTAAAATTTTTGTTTCTTTTTTAAAAAATAAAATAAAATAAAACTGAGATCATGCAAGAAGGCTGCTTAACTGACAGGCAGGTTACAGCTAGCATTAATTCTTCTCACTCTCTCTCATTCATTCCTAACATGAACCCTAAAAAACACTTCGCTGCCTACTGCCCAAAAGAATTTTAATCATAATTAAGCCCGCGTTTAGAGCTTTAGGTATATAGATTAGAATCATTAGAATTATTTTTGATTTATATATATTTTTTTGTGAAAAAAAAATACTTTAACTAACCACGGATCATAATTTGAATAGGGATACAACTCACAATCCCACTTTAGAAGGAAGAAAAAGAATGAATAAGGAAGAAGAAGAAGAGAAAAATGGTTACAACACGGAAAAAAAAAGTAAAATTTCTATTATGAGAAAAAAGAGCAAAAAGGAAACACCTCCCATTGTGTATGAATTTCCCATGTAGGATGATAAATGGGAGAAAACTTAAAATATGCCAAAAAAAAAAAAAGAGAGAAAAAAAAAGGGTTTAAAATGCAAGATAACATTTATCTTTCTAGGAAAGTTACAAAGCTTTGTGAAGAGACGAAATAATAAGAAAAGAAAAGAAAAACAAAATGGAAATATATATGTGAAAAAGTAGTGAACAATGACGATGACTTTAAAAAGGGTTGTTATGATATGTAATACCAGTTCTTTTCCGAGTTCAACAGCAGCTTCCTGGTAGCTAGCTTTCTTTCCTGAACTGCTTCCACAGAAGACACAAATCCTCTGGAACCTCGATTTTGTCTGCAGATCTTCCATATCTTTCTCTTTGATTTGATGATCTCTCTCTCTCTCTCTCTCTCTCTCTCTCTCTCTAGCAGTTTAGTTATAAGAATGTTGATTGAGAATGAGAACAAAGTGAGTTTTATAATAGAAACTCCTTCAGGCTCAAACTAACGCGTTGGCCAGTAAGTAAATGATATATATTATATGTATATTTTATACACAGCGGCTGTACTTTTTCTTTTTAGTTTTTTCTTTTTTATATATTGTGGATGGTGGAAAATACAAACGATTGTCTTTCCATAAAAGGTATATATTATAAAGTCGTTTCGAATTTATATTCCCACTGGAGTTTTGATTATTAATATGAATAATCTCATCGACAGGTAATGATCTACTGCTTCGCATCTAGGAAATGACATCATGTTCGTTGTGGCACGTTGACACCTGGCATATGGATTTTGATTCATCAGCCCCATTAATTACCTCTCTCATAAATATTCACTTATTTGAGTTTTTAATTTGAATTTAGATGTGATTTTATATATGAAGTTTTATTGTAATAATAAAATTAGATGTGATTATTTTTAAAATTTTTTTATTATAATAAAATTTAAATTTTAAACTCGAATCGATAAAATAAACGGAGCCTAATTTTACATCTATATTAAGCTTGATTTTTAAAAAAAAAGTCTTTAGCATTCGAGTACTAATCCTTTAAAGTCACGTTTAATAGCTTGTATTATATTATATTGTATCGTATTATATAAATTAAGGTGTATTGTATTGATATGATAAAATATAATATTTAATGTCATGACATATTGTATAAGAGATCAAAATTTAAAAATTTTAAGCTCAAAATGTTTTTTAAAATAATTTTAGAGTCAAAATATAATTTTTCAAAATTTTAGGGTTAAAAATATAATTTTTTAAAAAATATGATCAAAATGTAATTTTACAAAAATAAGGACTCAAAATTGTAAATTTTAAAAATTATAAATTTACATTGTGTCTCTTAAATTTTTAAACAATTATAAATTCTGACATTATCCTATATTAGTTTGACCCGACTTCAATCGTGCCCGACCAATATAAATAATAGATTCACTGTAATTCGGTACTCTAACACAGTCAAATAAATATACTATAAGGGCGTTATTTCTCTAAATTCACTTAAATATCAATCAACTTTGATCATCAGTTGATTTGTTCTCTTTTTGTACATTTCTTGTTCAATTCGCTTAATTAATTTGCTTTTGGACTAGTGAAATATTAAACAAAGCTGTAGGACAGGTTAAATGCCTAAAAGTTCTAATCAATATAGAAAGGTATTAATTGAAAAATTAAGCCAAGATTTTCTTTCTAACACAAAAAAAAAAAAAAAAAATTAAGCCAACATTAATAGTGGTATTTAATTGACTAGAGGCCAGTCGTATTGATCAGGAGTTAATTAGATTCAAACATTTATAAAAAGAGGGTTCATGGTGATTCACATGTGAAAGCTCCCTCTTTCAACCTAAAAATACAAATGAAATATACTAAAAGAATTTTAAAATATGTATCGAACTCTTTTTAAAATTTCATAATACATATTGTATATATAGGCTCCGTTCATTTCGCTAATTTGAGTTTAGAATTCGAGTTTTGCTACAGTAAAAAACTCTCACAAACAATCACATCTAACTTTTTTGCCACAGTAAAAAGCTCTCACATAAAATCACATCTCAACTCGAATTAAAAACTCGAATCAACGAACTAAACGGGCCCATAATGATTTTGTCTTCTTTACACGGCATAGCAGCTCACGTGTAAACCCCATTTTTTGGGTGCGGCAGTCTCTTGAAGGCCCGAATTAAACAAATTAGATATATTTAATTTGTATTAGAAAAAGTATATTATATATCGTGCAACAGTAGCTACATATTTTATTAGTGTAGATACAATTTTATATTTGAGTTGCATAAGAAGGTACCGAGTGCTATCACATGCAAGGTGCATTAAGAAATTATGGATATTAATTCATCAAACAACGAAATTCTGGATTATATCCCTAAAAGTGCCTTTCAACAATGATTTTCTGAAATTTTGTTACGTAGTTGATTCTTCTACCACATATATATGCATATACATATGCATTTATAAAAAATATAAATAAAAAGGATACGAGAGAAAAATACTTACGGATATTACTAAATAATTAAGAGGGCTTTGTTTTCGCCCTTTGTTTGTTTATGATCTCAGTAACTTAAACTGACGTTAACTGATCGATATTCACTTATAATAATTGGGGTATAACAAACTGATGCCACTATGACATAATTTGGTGAACACAGAGGTTAAGTTTCGAGTCTCTTTAAAAGAAAACAACTAAATTATTTTCATGACTACCATATTTTAAGCACGTGTATATTTTACAGGTTTTAAAACCATTTGAGTATTAGTAATATTAGGCATAACTTAAGACTCTCTTTTACCTTCTCTCTCTCTCTCTTTGGTTTTTTTTTTTTTTTTTTAAGCAAGGTCAAGGACACAAATATCATTAAGAAATTTCTATGGTAAAATCTGAAAAATGAATTATCAATAGGTTTTTATTTTTTTACTGTCAGATTTATATCATGATTTATTTGTTATGTAATTTTTTTCTATTTTAGTGTGATTTTTATCACATTCTACAAATATAAGGTCCTATTGTAGAAGAACCCGTGTCATTGAAGGAAATCTTTATAATGAAGAAGACTATTTCGCTTGTTAGATAAGAATCATTATTTTTAGCTGCTAGATTAATTTTTTAATAATTAGATATGCAAATTATTGTATTATAAATTTACAACGTGCGATATAAAACTATTCTCACTACATATTCAACTGCAGTATATTATCAATAGAGTAAAAGAGCCTTTTCCATAGAAGTGCACCCAAAATTACTAATTTAATGACCGTATTTGGAATTGATCCCGTTTTTATTTTTACATTTTTGGAGAAAAAAAAAATGAAAACGTTTTTAAAACGACGTTTGACGAAATAAAGACAAAAAATATAAATGAAAATGATTTTTTTAGTTTAGTATAAAATGAGAGATAAATGAAAAATAACTTTTAGTCGTTTTTCATTTTTTATTTTCGTTTTCTCCTCTTTTAACAGAGAGAGACATTAATGAATTTTTTATACTGAAAATAATCTCTTAATAAAATTATTAAACACATTTTTAAAAATAATTTATGTAAGAAATTAAAAATATTTTTATTTTTATTTTATAAAAAAATAAAATTATTTTAGAATAAGTTTTAAATCGCTTAATAAAACTTTGTGACACGTGTAATTCTCAACAAGATTTTTTATAACATCAAACTGACCAGATATTGATCTAGTTTGCTGAACGGCAACCCAATCTCAGACAACTAGAATCCAAATGTCGGCGTTACTATGTCCATATTAGACATATAATTAAAACAATATAATTAGCGAAGACCCATTTTCTGAATCAAACCGATTTATACGCGGTACACACGCTGAGAGACCAATCACACCAAGGAAACACCCTTGGCACTAGACACGATCTCTTGCCACAGCCAAAAAGTTATTCCACTTTTTTGGTTGATCACTTTCTGTTTTTTCAGTTGAAATTAATTAATTATTTAAATTAAAAAATGAAGAAAAAAGAATTATTGCATGTGACGCGGGCCATGATCTTGACCAGTTATTTGTAGCCACATGGTAAATAATACAAAGCTGAAGGGGTTTTAAGCAATAAAAAAATCTGAAATTATATCGTTGATGCGTATGGAAATGAGAATGAAATACTCCTTTGGGAGATGTTTCTTACTGACTATGTGATCATTGCGCTTTTGCTTGATTTATGCATCTTGACTGATTGATGTGCTGCAAAATATTTAATTGAGGGATATTGCTGTTTTTTTTTCTTCTTTTTTCAAGAAAGAAAAATAATTCACTAGAGTCACTCTTACAACGACTGGATTCATAGGCCCTGCAACATGTTTGGGAGTATAATTATTTGGGACTTGTTTCTTTGTAATATAAGAGCCCGTTTAATTCGTTGATTTGAGTTTTTAATTTGAGTTGAGATGTAATTTTATGTGAGAGTTTTTTATTGTAGTAAAAAAGTTAGATGTGATTATTTGTGAGAGCTTTTTACTGTAACAAAACTCAAATTTTAAACTCAAATTAGCGAAATGAACAGGGCCTAATTATGTTTGTTCGTAAAATTTAAGAGTAAATTTGAGTTTTAATTTGAGTTGAGTTTAAAATTTTTCTTTCAATTCAAGTTTAAATTTAAGTTTATGAATAATTTTTTTATTTTTAAAAACGTCATAATTTTTTTATTTTAAGTCCAATTGAAATGATATTTTTTCTATACGCTCAACAAATAGACGAATAAAACATCACTTATATATTATATTAAAAATTTTTATCACCATTGAATTTTTATTAAAATATTATCTAAATATAAATTTAAGTTTTGACCTACTCAAACACAAACTCAAATAGATTCTCAATTTAAATTATAACTCAAATGTGTACATCTAAACACAAACTCAAATTATAACTTCAACTCTCAAATTATAACTCAAATTCAATTTAAGATCTACATTTAAATCATTATAACTCAAAAATACGTTTTTCTTCTTGGGAATATTGATACATTTTCTTGCCCATCTTATTTGTCCTTAATTATTTGGAGGAGATTTTGATGGTACGACTTGAAAAAATAAATTGTAAAGAGATTTTTAACTTTTAGCTGAAAGATCTACATTAAAAACTCTTTATTCTGTTTTATTTTGATGTGTTTTTAATGACTCTTATTCTCATTTATTTTATAAATTTGAGTTTTATTATAATAAAAAATTCTTAGAAACAGAAATGTTTAACTTTTTTATTATAGTAAAAAACTCTCAAATAAATCATATCTCAACTCAAATTAAAAATTCGAATTAGTAAACTTAAATAAAAATTTTACTCTATTCTTTACAATTGGATTGAATATGAATTCATCCCTAATTCTACAACAATTCTTTTAGTGCCTATTTAGTAAGAGAGTTCAAATGGGTTTGAACCTAAAAGTCAA